TGGTAAGTTAGGGAGTCCCAGCAAAAGCCGGGATGAATAAAAGGATATTTTTTGCCATGCTTCCTGTTCGCTGTGACAGGAAAGACTGTCACATTCCTTCTAAACAGTCATCTCTTACTGACTTCTGTAATGGGCACAGTAACTAATTAACAAACCTCAGTGCATAGTTTCCAGTAATATAAGCTATAATGAAATAGTAACCATCTTCTGAAATACATAATGAAAGCTGAAAACCTTTGAGGGGCTGCACTACACAATGTTTGCACTCTAAAAAGATACATTTCTGTAGACACGACCTACACTAATTTCTAAACTATTGCAGATGAAGAGAACCTACAGACCCAAAATTAAACACTTTCTTTCAAAAGTTGTTGGGGAAAAAAATGGGACTTTTAAAAATCTACATAGTTTAAAAAGTTATTCAAGATGAAGGGTGCCATGTGTATTGACAATATCCTTCTCTATTATGCAGAACAATTCAAGAACTGAATCTTGTATATGTTATTAAAAACCAATATATCGACTTTTTTTCTTCTCTCTCCCCGCCACCCCACCAGACTCTTTTCCCTTTGAATAGTGATAACACAACAAGAGAATTGGTACTTGCTGGACTCATTCTGTGACAGAAATTATTTGACCATTTCTGGTCAACTGAGCACTAGAATCAACGGTTTGCCCTACAAAAACAGGTGCAAAATGGTTAAGTACAGTCTGAAATTTCATCTATTATTTCCTGCACATAAAAATGCAAGAAACAAGTAAAAGGAATTAACAGAAATTAAGCTTTGAATATTAAAAACAAAAAGGAAAACAGTTCAGGCAAACAAGAAGTTCTCCTTCAGGTACAGAAGTTCGAGGTAGTGGAGGGAATTAACAAGGGGAAGACTGAAACATAAATTTAATCACATGGTAAGCAGAAAAAAAAGCACTTAATTGAGCTTGCCTCTCATCCTGCTTCCTTCTATCCTGTATAGTACATGTGTAAAAAAAAAAAAAGACTCTGAGTTAAAGATCCGCTGCTACATTATATACATTGTTGTTTTAGTTGTAGAAATGCTGGTTTGTTCCCTTTCCTCCTCCATTCTCCAGTGATCAGTGAATTTGCCACGAAACCATAAAAAGAGTGATTACAGTTGAAACCAGTAAGCCAAATCTATCTTTAAAACAGAAAACAACGCATATGCAAAAATTACACTATGAACGTACTCTAACTTAAAAATGCATTGAAATATTTTCAGTACTATATTATTTCCGGCAATTGCATAACAGGCACATTCCTCTGCTTCTGTGCATCATATGCACTATCCTGAAGGCTCATGAAAAATAACAAGAATAAAGAATTGTATAGGGTCATGGCACAGAACAGGTTATGCCAGAGCTGTTCTCATTCAAGGAGCTTTGTTTGTTTCACCAAGAGGGAATAAAGAAGAAAAAGGGGGAGTAAGTGATCTTTATGTCATTATTAAAAGAAACAGCACCTTCAGATCACACATTTTTCCTGGACAAAAAAACAAGATGCCACAAATAAACATGATCAAAACATGGTACTTTCAAAACACAATAGAACAATAGCCACAGTTTGATATGTGTTCCATTTACTTTGATAAGAGCTGGAAAATCCAAACCTGCTCAGTTAAGCTAGTTTCTCTCTGTAATATTCACCATCCTTTAGAAAACAGTCAGTGTTACACAGTTTAAAACCCAAATGCACCTTAAAGAATGCACTAATCATGGGCCACTCTGTAGACTGTGGTAATTAAGCAAATCAAGATCTTCCCCTGAGTTTTGGAATCAGCTCCTTACTGGCTGCTACACTGTCAACAGCTGGCATGCATTACTGGTAACATTTGGCTAACTGGATAATAAGGAGGACAGCCTGTGTTTGGTCCAAATTCTACTTCACCGATCTGCTTCAATTAAAAAAAAATCTCATTAGATCCTCCTTTTCTCTTTTTAAACCAGTAACAACACTACAAAAATTGGTCTTTCTGTTTTATTCCCTCATTATGTGCAAACAATGTAACAGTACAACTCTCAGATGTTGCATGGGCTAGTGGAACTGAAGCCCCACTTCCCTATAATTTAATAATGCCTGTCTGCAACACCGATTCATCCTCACTCATATCACACCTCTCTTGGCTAGCGTGGTAAAGGTTTGCTACTCTGAATATATTTTTCTAGTTGCTAGCAATTCATCAGCATAGATCACAGTAACAAAACCCCCGAACTCTGCTCCCATCTATCTTAGTGAAGAGAAAATTTGCAAGACCAAGCTTCCTCCAAACAGCAGCTTTGTTGTGAGGTAAAGTAAAATTGTATTACTACAGACACAGACAACTAAATGCCACATGCTGTTACTTTGTTGCAGTATTTGCTTCGTGCCTGTGCAGCTATCAAATTCCTTCCAGAAATCAATGTAGGAACCCAGTTCTAGTGGAGCAACATGCTCAAAAGTGGCTTTGTGCGTGGTCTCTAGTGTGTCCAAGTACCAAAGGCATCTTTGCCACAGGAAGCTGCGGAGAGTGGGCACATTTACTAGCCTGTCCTTCTCCTTTTCCTTTCAACAGGTAACAGGGAATCTAAAGTAAACAGCTTCTCAGATTACAAGCCCTGGAGAACTGCTCAAATCAAGAACAAGTCTAATATAAAGCAATTGCCCTATTATTGCCAGGCATTAACAAAACACCCAAGTATTTAGGTAAACTCTGCATGCATGTTACATAGTCAGAGCATTCAGTTACAGCTGTCCTTGAAAAATATTGGATTATCCACTGTCTTTCCTTCCAAAAACAAACATTTAAAGTGCTGGCTTTTTTTCTCTTTGATCAAAACAGCACTGTAACTTTTGAGGTAGCAGAGGATTAGTCCAATGTAATGTCATGGCTAAAGCTAAAAACAAACAAAAACGCTAAACCAATTTTAATTTTTTTTTTTTTTAATCTTTGCTGAGACTATTCTCAGGCGTCTCATGAATTCTAACAAGCATGACGTTAGTATCAACATCTGGTAGCACAGTGGTATGGTAACCCACACTTTTGCCGTGAGCTACCAAACAGATGTTGCTGACAGGCCTTCTAATATAGAAGGGCTAGTTCCAAAAATTATCTAATGCATTTCAGCAATTCACATTTGTATTATATTGTACTTGATGGGGATAGCAAGAAACACAGAACAGTATTAGAATTCACATATCATCACCGCTACAGTGGGGGCCATCACTTGAGCATCATTCTTTCACAGAGAAAGCAATCTAAGCGAAGGTCAAGCCAGCAGGATAAATGTGGCTACTTTCTGTATTTCAATCATGCCAGTCATAAGTAAGTCACCTTTTGAAAGGTAGTTAATCCTTGCTGTAGGGGCTAGAATTTAATAGCAGGCAATTGTGGCAGGTAAAAATTATAAACAGCTTTTAGATTCTTCCAGCCTTTGTACCCACCACTGTTACAGTGATTTTCCAAGAGAATTTGTACTATGACAATAAAGAATAACATGTAATGTTGTGAGAACAGAAGAGAGAAAAGAAGAATACATACTTTTGTTAAAAGTATGTTTTCCAAGTAGTGTGTTTTATAACTTGAAAAACCCACAAGAAAAACCTGTTGATGGGTAGCCTTTTCAAAAAATAAGCTCCTTCTTAGAAGAGCTGGTGGAAAAAAAAAAAGAAATCCTAAATATAGCAGATAATTCAGTACTTTCAGACTCAGAAATTTCCCTTCAATCCACACTGACTCTACAGCTCAGGGCTTACTAAACAGAGCATTACCATGATAACTCCGGTGCTTTGGAAATCACTGACAACATATGTCCAATTACAGAGCTGAAAATATTCTACCATTATCCTCCTTAAAGATTACTCAATAAAAGAGGAAAATGAAAACTAAGATAGTTTTGTTAGGACACTTTGCAACTGCTCTACTACAGGAAAAAGTGGGCACCAGCAGCACACGAGGAAAGGCTCATGTGAGAGAATCTGAACTCCCCTTCCAGCTTCTACCATAGGCAACAGACACTCTTACCTCAACAAGGCCTAACTGGTAACAAGGAAACCAGAGGAAAACTGTTAGCAATGTTCTGTGATGAAACATAATGGAGGATTTCTGTAGAAGATCCGGCTAACAGTCTCAAGCAAAAGGAAAAGCAAGAAGGCAGCATCTTAAGAAAAGAATGAAGACAGTTTGTGTTCTTTAAAGGAGATAAAATGAGACAAAAGCAGGAAATGCTGTCCTTCCTTTATCCTGAGAACTTCTTAATGAAAGGTCAAGTATAGCCATCAATCAAGATAAGGAAGAGGCAACCAAAGAGATGACCTTCTTTGAGGGGAAACAACTATGTATTAAATAGCATTTTTACACTGATGTAGTCCTCCTCTGTCAATGTGAGAGAAAGAGAAAAAAGTTTCATGCCAGTGTTTTAAAAACAAAGTGACAATTAAGCACTTGAGATAGAACAAAATCAGACGTGCAAGAGCCTATTAAGTCAAACACTAGCAGCCAAGGAAAAGCTTGCTTCCAAAATTTGTGAGGAGTGCAATGGAATTTTATTCCTCACCACTCCTGCAGTTTTGCACCTGGCTTAGGAGATGCATCTCCTGGGGGCTGCCACCCTCACTAGGTTGTTACTGATAAGCCGCAGGACTCATTACATGGACTTTAAACTTCTGGTTTAAAGTTTGTTGCTTTTCTGACAGACAGTAATCCATTTTCAGTTATGCTTGACCTCACAGTTACAAGATTCACTTACAATATTCCCCTGTGAGTTATGCTCTTGATGTCACTTCTGGGATTAAAAAAATCAGATTGCATGGAATTGCATCTGAAGTAGGTAAAATTAAATATCCATCAAAACCAAATGTAAGTATAAATACTTCTCAAACACAAGCTTTATGCAGTTACCTTTCGCTGGCTTTCTCAGACAACAAGAGTTCACTTCTATTTCTTGGGCCAATTTTAAAACACGGAATTGTTTCAATATCACTCTTCAGGACAAAACAACAAGTTTACCAGCTCTCGAGGTAGAAAGGCCTCCTCCTGACGAGCCACAATCAGACAGACAGTTTCCCCTTGCTTTGTGCTCCTCAGCATAGCTACAAGCTCTTCCTGGGTCCTGCCAGTGATGTCCCGTCCATTCACCTATGGAAGGATGAGGAGAGGTTGTCATATCTGTGAGTACGATTGACTTTTTTTCCCCTCACCTAACACAGGTGTCATTCAGTGACTGAGAGCAAAGAAGAATTAGCAACAGCTCCCACACCGTCTCCCCCTCTGGCCCTGTACAAATCACTTAACCTTTTTTCCCCATCTGTTAAAGCAGGTCTGTAGCACTTATCCACCTTGCAGGGGGCCTGTGAGGCTTAATTAGTTTGTAAAGCACTTTAAAGATGAAAAGTACAAAAACAAGACCTAAGTATTATTAAAACTGTTTACTTTAAGAGCTTTTTGAGGTTAGTAAGTAGAAATAACCCATCAGATGATGAGACTAAGTCAGAAGATATCTGAAAATTTTAAACAGATAGATTTCAGCAAAATTGCCTTAAAATGAGCACTTAACCACCTCGATGTTAAACAGAGATTTTTGGACACGGCTGAAGAGGCTAGACATGTTTTGTTTCTTAAGCGATACATTTATCTGATTTAAGAAACAAGGTGTTATCAGATCCCCCTTGTTCAAACATCCCACGGACCCTTGTGAAAAGCACCTTCTTCCAAATCACAGTGTAAAATTCTTATTGACTAACAGTAAAAAAGCCATAAGATTTTTTTTTTTTTTAAACCAAGGTCAAGAATGTTAATTCCATACATCAGAAGTATGTGTAAGGAAATAAAATATTTATGCCAAACCCCGTGGTCAGTACTCAGCAATGCAAATACAACGGATGTTTATACTAACCTCCAGGATTCTGTCTCCTGACTGCAAACGACCATCTTTTACTGCTGCACCTTTTGGTAAAATATTCTTCACAAAAATCGGACCAGGACCATGTACTGAGGAGTCCCTGGTAACGACAGTGAAACCAAGCCCTTCTGGACCTAGAAGGTCAGATAAAGAACTCCCAACATAAATTTCAACAAGCAAATGATGATCATTAAAAAGTAAGTAAACAACATCAGTAACACAGTCACAGACACTCATTCAGGTTAGCTCTTAAAAAAGAAAGAAAACAAAAAGCTGTAAACATGAGTCTATTTTGTGCATGGTCTAGAGAAGAATTCTGTCAATGTCAGAACACGTGCTCAAATCCTCCTGCAACCAAGCTACAGATAGAAATACTTTTGCATAGCCCACAATAATACAAAACAAGCAAGAACTCTCCTTTAGAAGTGTTTAGATTTTCTGTCAGTGGTTTTAGTATCAGCCTTCACATTAATGTCAATAGTCTTTGAAACAAATCAGAGCAATCAGAATTATTTATCAGCATAAATATAATTTAGCAGCTTTTACTGAAAGCTGTTGAAAAGTAGAAAAAGTCACATGATTTGAATGCAAAAACTGCTGACTACATGCTGTTAAGAAAGGACAAGTAGTATTTCCATTCATGAAGTTGTTCGCTGCCTGGAAATAAACAACCTCAAGTGTTAATAGATGAATGTTTTAAGAAATAATTAGGCAGTAAAAATCAGTATTAGCAAGTATTGCTTATAAGTCACCAAAATCACCCAGGAATATCAGGGCCCATGAAAGTCTTTTTATACTGAGCAGGATTACTACCCATGTGATAGTTTACAGAGCTATGTGATGTCAGTATCACATTCCTGTAATTTCTAAAAATATAAATTACTGTTTCAAAATCAAAAGTATTGCAGCTAAAATGGGAAGAATTCCGAAGCAGGTTTTGTTAATGCGAAGCTGAAGAGTTCAGAAGTAAAACCAAGTTATTTAAGTTAAGAAATGACAGCTTGATTATATTCTTTTAACACATAATGAATGAAGTTACAGACAGTTTTTAAAAGGGCCACTTCCACCATCAAATTTAACTCAGCCAAATCAGAGACAGAAATTAAACAGAAAACATAAATGCTAATTGGGATCTGCTTAAGCACATTTTAGTACATGTGCATAAACCTGTTACTCCCTGCAAAGACAGACATCTGCATGGAGCAGCAATTAAAGATATATGTGGAAAATTCAGCCTGCTGACAGCTGAATAAATACAGATGGAAAGAAAAGGT